AAGTGAAGGAATGCACTTCAAGTCTGGTAGGGTGCTGTGTAAGTATCGGACCTTCGGCGGCTTGGGGCTTAGATTGGGGAGCGTTTGTAAACTGAAGGTTTAAAGCCTTTTCAACTTTTGGCCTCTCAAGGAAGTCGTATTCTGAAAGTTTGAACTTTTTACCCCATGGGTAATTATGGGTAGTTGGGAAATAAGGAGCGCAGGGCTTCGGAATGTGTAGGGTTTATGCGGGTTAGGGTTACGAAATGGTTGAGGGTTGTTGAAAACCGTAGCCGGCTTTGCGCCAATGTGAGGAGGATGCAGTTTGTGGCACTGGCGAGGGCCCTGGCTCATGTGGACCCGCAAGAGAGCGTTGGAGAGTGTGAGAGTGGGAGAGAGTGAGCGACTGAGAAGGTCAGAGAGTCAGAGAGTGAGAGTGTCAGAGGGTCAGAGAGTGAGAGAGTGAGGGAAGGAAGGAGAAGGAAGGAGAAGGAAGGAAAAGGAAGGAAAAGGAAGGAAAAGGAAGGAAAAGGAAGGACAAGGAAGGAAAAAAAGGAAGGAAAAGGAAGGAAAAGGAAGGAAAAGGAAGGAAAAGGAAGGGAAAGGAAGGAAAAGGAAGGGAAAGGAAGGAAAAGGAAGGAAAAGGAAGGATAAGGACAGAAAAGGAAGGAAAAGGAAGGAAGGAACGAAAAGGAAGGAGCAGGAAGGGAGGAAGGAAGCAAGGAAGGAAGGAAGGCGGGGACGGGAGAACGGAACAGAAGTGAAGGGACTTGCCTGAGCTGTGTGCTTCGGGAGGTTTTTTAGGGTTTTAGCCAAATCCTGAACATCTAATCTCCACCCCGCCCGCCCCTCTAGCTTTGAAACTTGCCCCTAATGCCCCCAAGCGCCCAACGAAAGAACTGGATCACCGAACCCTTTGTGGTGGCCATGGGCCATTCTACTTATTATACCCTATAAGGCCCTTTATAGGGTTTAGGGTTAACCTTAACCCTAAACCCTGAACCCTAATTGGCAAGGCAAAGACTACGCCAAGCGGCCGCAGGGGTTCGAGGCTTGATCCTCAAGGTTTAGGGCTTCGGGTTTTGGGGCTTTCGGGTTCAGAGCCCTGAGCCCTGAACCCTAAACCCTAAAACGGCTTTAGAGCACGGCCAACAGCAGGAGCCCGGAAGGAAAAAGCGCTTGGAACCCCCCCAAAACTGCACCTACCTCATCTTAGCATGGCTCGCATAAGATCGGGAAGATGAGGCCCAGAACCAGAGAAGCTGGAGATGTGAGTTTAGGTAGCCCTCCCTTTTCCTTCAAGCGTTGCAGCTTCTGCGGCCATTGGAGGAAAGGGCTCCAGGAGCTCGGGTTTAGGGAGCATGGGTTTGGGTTTCTGGGTTCAAGGGGTGAGATCCAGCAGTTTAGGGTTTAGGGTTTAGGGTTTAGGGTTTAGGGTGTTCTTGTTTGGCCACGGACCTTGAATCAGCAAAGGCGGGAGCAGTGAAAGCAAATCTTTGAGTGAGGAGACATCAGGGTCAAACTGGTTTCGTCAGGACCTGCCCTCAACTAGGAAAGCTGAAGACTCTATAGGGCCACTCGCCACTCCACTGCAGGGTTGAGGGCATGATGGGCAGCGGATACTATAGGGGTCGGAGTCATTACGAATAGTATTCCCTTGTACTCCCTTTGTATTTATACTAGAACAACCCCCCCAAAGCCCTGCTCTAGTTATGAAGGCCCCTATATTACGCCTCCTTCTGAGCGAGGTGGGCCTAGCCAAGCGCCGCGAGCAGGCGCAGAGAGGGAGAACTTCTGGCCGACTTTCATCCCTTATAGGGATTCTAGTGCCCCCCCTTCCTGAATCCCTGTTAAGGATTATTTGTAGAATCCCTGTTAAGGACTGTTAGTATAAGGGGTAACATCTCAATCAGTTGGTGATGTCCGCACCCCGATAGTCATCAGAATTCAGAACGCCCAAGTTCTAGACTCGGGCAACAAGAACGCTTAGAGTTCGAAAAGCCTAACTAAGGCAGGACCTACATCCCCCAAACCCAAAACCCTAGACCACAGGGCTTCACATCTTCGTTGTGCCACCCCCCCCCCCCCCCCCCAATTCATAAACTCAACTACAACCCGAAACCAATTCCCGAAACCCTAAACCCTGGACCTTGAACCCCCAAACCCTAAACCGCAACACCAAGAAGGCATCAAATCCCAAACCCTAAACTCCCCCTACCCCAAGACCCTAAATCCTGCAAACCCCATACATGTTACATAGGCCCTGCCACAGTCGGCCCTACATCCGACATTGTCCTAAACCCCACAACCCCCAAAACGCTGCAAGGTAGCCCCTTGAAACATTCTACATTTTCCCTTTTTGCGCGAGGATCATTTCAGGAAGATCTTTCAGAGGGGTCTAAGGGTCAGCCTAGACTGTGTCCGACCCCAAGAGTTTAGGGTTTAGGGTTTATTTTAGGGTAAGCCCTAAATCCGGTCGTTTAGGGTTCGACCGATGGAATCTCATCTCTTTCGAGAGCCCGCTCTAAAGCCCACATTAAAATGGTATCAAAATAGCGGGTAGAGGATGCACGCGCCATGAATAACACTTCAATGAGGCATTTTCCCATTGTCTTGTTCCTTTCGTTCGCTATTAAATGACTTCGCGCGTTTCCTTGCAAGTCAATCAATGTGGCACGAAGGAAAGGAACAAGGAGAAGATTCCAAAGGTGTGTCCGGGAGTGAACAAAATGTACCAGAAGTGAAGACAGACCCCTTTTTTAGGGTTCATTTGGTCCCCAAGGTAAAGGTCGCTGTAGGTTTATTTGTAAGGCCTACGATCGGTTCAAGGCTCCGAGCTTGTGATTTCGATTGCATGATATAGAGGTTGGAGTATTTACTAGCAGTATTCCCGCATGGTCCCTGAATAGCTATACTAGAAAGAACCCCCCCCCCCCCCAAAAAAAAAAAGGCCTTGTTCTAATTATTCAGGCTTCTCTACCCTAAACCCTACACCCTAAACCCTATATATATATATATATATACAGTAGCGCTCCAAGGATTGAGGCGGTTGAGGGCCGGCTGTCCTAAACGCGCAGGGCTCCGCCGAGAGCCAGATGCACCAGGAGGACACCACCCACGCCCGGCAGAAGCGGCGGAGCGAGAAGGACATGCAGACATGGTCCTCTAAGGTCAGGGGGTAATCGGGGTCCTTGTTGGCTCTAGTTTTACATTTTTGAAGTTCTTGTAAGTCAGGCTGTGCCTGCGCTGGATGAGATTACCTCAACGGTCTGTATGTGGAACGAGGGCAGCATCGCAACCACCAAGAGCTTCAGAGCAGGACATCAAACCCCCTCAGATCGAACCAACCCATTGAAGCTCCGTAAGCTTGTCAAGTTCAGGGAGAACGTCCCCCCCCCCCCCCCCGGAACGCTGCTGAGGCCTACAACAGGTGCACGGTTCTGGGCGTCTTCTTGTCAGGTCTGTCTCTTGTGTAAGCCCGACCCTACACGCCCTGAACCCCCCAACCCCAAGCACTCCCTAAACGTCTACAAAGTGATGTTTTTTTGGTTGCCGGGTCGGGTTTCGAGACGTTTGAGGCTGAATCGGTGGGCGGCAAGTGGTGCTGCAGGTCTTTATGGTGGCAGTGGTATTACTATGAGTTAAAGTACCCCCGGTTATAATCCCTATTAGGACTGTTAGTATAAGAGGGAATATCCCAACATATGCTTGTTGGCTTAACGAGAAGCTGCGGGCCACCAAACAACCCCTGCAACGTCCCTGAATGCCCATTTATGACGCATAAACCCCACTATGAATTTCATAGTTATAGCAGGTGTCTGAACTTGCGGGGGTTTAGGGTTTAGGGAAACCCTATAAACCCTATAAACCCTACAAACCCTATAAACCCTATGAGCCCTATAAACCCTATAAACCCGATAAACCCTATAAACCCCATAAACCCTATAAACCCTATAAACCCTAACCCCTGGACTCACACCGTGGGAGGATGTAGATGCTGAGCGCGAGTCGAAGATCCTGCGCCGTAATACCGACGAGGAGAAGGCGGAGAAGTCCTCCAAAACCTGAAAAGCCTTTCAGGGTTTAGGATCACTTAGGGTTAGGGGTTAGGGGTTTAGGGTTTAGGGTGTGTGAGGTCAATGGTGTACTTGGGTTCGATTGGTGCTTTTAGGATGTCTAGCGGCTTCTGCATCGTATCATCCTTGGAGAGCAAATGAACCCTAAGATTGGGGTCATATGCCCTGACTACTATTCAGGCAATATGAACCACGAACCCTTTTAGGGTTCATATTTAGTCCCCAAGGGTTAATCACAAGACGCTACAGACACTGGGCGGCCCCGGAAAATCGCGAGTCGGCCTGTAGACATGTCTCCATGGTAGTGCCTCTCCGATCCGTGGCTCAAACACGAGCTTGTGTACACCGTAACCTCAGGGTTTAGGGTTTAGGGTTTAGGGTTAGGGTTTTAGGGTTTAGGGTTAGGGTTTAGGGTTTAGGGCTCCTTCTCGCGCGGCCGGCCATAGTCATGGTAGGTCACAGCCGGAGCTTCCTGCGTGGGCTGCCCCGCATGGCACGTATCACCAGCCCATTGCACAGCGAGGTCAAGGCCCGGCGGTGCAGTGGACGCTGCGCAGGCACGCCGAATCTGCTGGTGATGCTGGAGATGCTGGCCTCTGTACCCCTTCTACCACTTGTTTCCACAGGATTGCGCCACACGTGTCTCGTTGGGTTAGATGGTCAGCTTGTTTGCTTTAACACCACGAGCACGGTGCCACCGGGCTTGGGAACTGTTCGCGAAGTCTCCGCAGGTGCTCACCATACCTGTGCCATACAGGCGGATGACGAGCTGGCTTCTTAGTAGTAGAGTAGTTAACCTTTTAACCTTTTTGGGGTAATCGAACCCCCTTAGAAGACCAAAGGTTCACCTTTAGTTCCCCTAGGTACTTCAGTTCCCCTAGGTACTGGACAACTGAGGTTTGCTTTGGTAGCAATACAGAGGGCCAGTGCTCAGTGCCATCTGACATGGGACCGGCTCTGTCAGTTTCTTCTGGACACTACTATACCTGCGCCGTGAAAACGGATGGTGAGCTGGTTTGTTTTGGAAACCGATACCAGGGCAGCAGCGATGTGCCCATTGACCTGGGAATGGTTCAGGCAGTCTCTTCAGGCGTCTCGCACACGTGTGCAGTGAGGGTAGATGGTCAGCTGGTTTGTTTTGGAAGCAATGAAGACGGTCAAAGTGCCGTGCCACCAGATTTGGGGCCCGTGCTGGCAGTCTCTGCAGGTTTCGTCCACACTTGCGCAGTGAAGGCAGATGGCATGCTGGTCTGCTTCGGTGACAATGCGCACGGCCAGTGCGATGTGCCTGCAGACTTAGGACCGGTCCACGCGGTTTCCACAGGATCTTTTCACACCTGTGCAGTGAGGACAGATGGTCAACTGATCTGCTTTGGAGATAACCGATATGGCCAGTGTGATGTGCCACCGGGCCTGGGGACGATTGCATCTGTTTCCGCCGGAGCCGTGCGCACGCACGCAGTTAAGCCTGATGGTCGGATGGTCAGCTTTGGATTGGAGACCTAGGGGCTTGAAGCCCACAAGCCTTCGCGAACTTCAGGTATAAAAAGTTTACACAACCTGACCTCGTGGGCTGTCGCTGTTGTCGTGTTGTATATGTTGTTGGCGGTACTGGGGGCTGGACATTGCTAGAAAAGAGCGTCAAGTTTTCGTAAGTTACATCCACCGCAAGCTGTTAATTTGCATGAAAGACCATGGTGTGTTGTGCTGTTGTAGTTTGTGTTGCGTCTCAACCCAGTCCATGCTTCCAAGTAGCGTTTATAGGCGTGTTGTTATCGGCTCCCTGCTTGCTTAGAAACGGACCGCAAGAACGAAACCCTAAACCCTAAACCCTAAACCCTAAACCCTAAACCCATGGCATGGCCTGCCATTGCAAGAACATTCCATGGCACAGGGGCCGAGCTTGGGTGTGGTTTTGGATTCGGATACGGGGTGGCACCTGAGTTGGTTCGTGACGCATGTGCACGTGTGTCGTCACGAATTGAAGAAGTACATACATGTGTATATGTACATTTTTTTTTTTTTTGGGGGGGGGGTGGGGGGTGGGGGGTGGGTGCTTGGTGCTGTTGCAACAGGGTATTCAGCACTTAACATTCCCGCCTCAGAAGAATATGTCCTGACTTGGAATAGCCCGGCAACACCCTGTAAACCAGTGGTCACAAGCTGCAACTACTGACTGCCAGATAGGGGGAGGGGAGAGGGGGTGCCAGTATGCGGTACGAGCTGTAAGCAAAGCAGACCTTGCAGCATCGCTGTCTGCAGCTGTGGATGCGCACGTTGCAGGAAAGACAACGCGTTTCGAAGCAGATTTTCGTGCCTTGCTGCAGTAGTCTTGAGGAGATTTGGTGCTAATGTGGGGAGCTCATAGGCGACCAGAGTCTCATAAAGCATTCTGGTGCAGTTCACGCCATCCAAAGACATGGGTCGCAATGCCTTTCTCACTGTTGTGACATCAGTACGGCATCAAGACTCAAGACCAACATGAACATGGAGCAACAGAGTTCCACAGAAACACATACTCGTAGTTCGTTTTCCATTCTGCGGATTCTCGGTGACCACAACGACTTTCCAACCCTGCCCAAATTCGCACACCCCGAGAGTTCAGATTTTTTAGGCAGGGAGAACGCCCCTAACCACCGCCCCCCTCCTCCCTGAGCACAGGCAGTTAGCCCTAAACCCTGAACCTTAAACCCTAAACCTTAAACCCTAAACCCTAAACCTCAAACCATGTAAGGAGAAGTATGGCCAAGTTCGGGCACGTCCCAGCGCTGGGACGACGCACGAGGAAGGCGTTGACCGAATACAGCTGGGCTAGAGAGCACGCCAGGGGCTACGCCCTAAACCCTAAACCCTAAACCCTAAACCCTAAACCCTAAACCCTAAACCCTAAACCCTAACCCATAAGTACCTTAAACCTTAGTTTAGGGTTCAGGGTTTAGGGTTTAGGGTTAGTAAATACCTTAGACCCGAAATGCCTTAAACCTTAAACCGTATAGTAGAACTACCTTAAACCCTATAGTAGAACTACCTTAAAGCTGAAACCCTTTGGTATCACTACCTTAACCCTAAACTAAACCTTAAAACACCCTACGCCCCAAGTCCTAAACCCTTCGAACCTCTTTGACTTCCACGGGCCCTATCCCTTAGATTATAAACCTTCCAGGTCATGGTGGCAACGACAAGGGAGCGGGGGGGATTCTTCTAGGAGCGACCGTCTTCACAAGGCCCGGGTTCTACTAAAGGAAAGTATCGATAGTGGAGGTTCACGGGTACAGATAAGGTAACGTTCTAAGTAGGGTAACTATGGTTATAACCCCTTTTTTAGGGTACTTCTACTAACCCTACTTATAAGCGCCCATGAACCTCCGGGTAGGGCTTAGGAAGCAACCCTAAACCCTAAACCTAAAACCCTAAAACTAAACCCTAAACTCTAAACCCCAGTTTGAGCTGATATTGCGCGAGACCCAAAGAAGGCGCGCCAGCGAGGAATCCTCGCATCCGCGGGAAAAAATGGGAATCGCCGCACCAGCATGGGTCAAGCGCTTTCCCGCCATAAGCCCGAAACCCTACAAACCCTACAAACCCCACAAACCCTACAAACCCTACAAACCCTACAAACCCTACGAACCCTACGAACCCTACGAACCCTACGAACCCTACGAACCCTACGAACCCTAAACCCTAAACATCCCTAAACCCTCAACCCTAAACCCTATAACCCTAACCCCTAAACCCTAAACCCTGAACCCTGAACCCTAAACCCTAACCCCAAACCCTAAACCCAACAGCCCAGGCCGGGCTTGGTCGTGCTCAGCTCCACCCTGGGATCACTGCGAGGCTTGCTTTTTTCGGTCTAGGGAGGGGTGGCGGGGTTTAGGGTTTAGGGCTTCGGGTTCAGGGTTTAGGGGTTTAGGGGTTTAGGGTTTGGGGGTTGAGGCGTTAGGGTTGGGGGTTTCGGGTTAGGGGTTAGGGGGTGGGGCGGGCGAGGGCTGTTTAAGGGTTCAAGCCTCGGGCGTGAGGTTCTTTTCAAAACGTCAAGTCCAAAAGGGTTTAGGGATTGGGGTTTAGCAACTTCAAACCCGACTCACAATAAGCCCTGGCGTGAGGGTTTAGCAACCCTAAATCCTAAAACCTAAACCCTAAACCCTAAACCCTAAGGGTTCGGAGGGTAAGGTCGATCTGTTTTCCTTTGTTTCAAGGTTGCTCGTTTAGCGGCGCAATTAAGGGGGCGGGAGAGGTGGGCGGGTTGAGAGTCTTTCGGCTCAAGTGGGACACATGGCAACCAACTTGGGCATTTGAGTAGGGGTCCCAAAACCGGAAACCCTGCACTCTTGACCCTCTAAACCCTAAACCCTAGTATACACGTACATGTATATGTATAGAAACGTGTATATATATATTTTTTTTTTCGCACCCCTAAGCCCTAAGCCCTAAACCCTAAACCCTAAACAAAATGTGATAATCCCTTTTACAAGAACCCCAAGAGGAACCCTAAAGGCGGCGATCGCTGGACTGACGCCTTGGCTTTAGCGCGGCACCCGAAGCTTTCTCCGGGGCTACGGTTTGTGGTTAGGGTTTAGGGTTTAGGTTAGGGTTTAGGGCTTAGGGTTTAGTAGGGTTTAGGGTTTAGGGTGTAGGGTGTAGGGTTTAGGGTTTAGGGTTTAGGGTTTGTGGTTAAGGGTTCAGGGGATATGGGCTTAGGGGTTTGGGCACGTCAGAGAGCCCTCCGGCAAAACGGTGTTTACAGGACGTGTTAGGGCTTTTGCTTGTTTTTCGGGGGGGGGGGGGATACCGATTGCGGTGAGGTCGCTGAGCTGCAATCCGCCCAGCAGCAGCCGAATTCGGTGACCGCAACATCAGCCCTTGCTGCGTTGGATGCCTCCAGCGCCAGCTGCGAAGGTGTGGGGTTGAGGGTTTGGTTTCAGCAGTGGGCAGGTATGGCCTCTGTAGATAGACCCTAAACCCAAAACGCTAAACCCAAGGATTTGCACATGCCTTCGGATACTATAACGCCTGCAACAATCCGGATCAACGCGGGCCATTGGCCGCCCGTTCAGCACAGAAGGGAGCAGGTTGATAATTCAAAGCCTCGAAGTACGCTGGGCCCTTCTTCCAGGTCCCATGTGCCAATAATAATACTTCAACGTGAACCCTAAACCCCAAACCCTAAAAACCCTAAAAAAACGCTAAAAACCCTCAAAAACCCTAAAAACCGTAAAAACCCTCAACCCCAAACCCTCAGCCCTAAATTCTAAGCCCCCAAAGAGAAGCTTGTTTCCGAGCGAAGTTCGCAGAGAGGTGGGCCCTGCGGATGGCAGTTTGGCGTGTCCTTGCTGGCCCTGACGCAGAGTGCGCGCTCCCCAGCTTTCATCTGCAGCTCCCCACATCCTTCGCGCCTTGCGCAGTTTGGGCAAGACGTAAGCTCGCCAGAACGCTAAGCCCTACACCCTGAGATCTGACAGTTCCTGCGTCTCCCCGAACCCTCATGGCAGAGTTGCCACGGTCGAAGCCCTGACAGGCTGATGCCGTAGCCTTTGCTGCGTCTATCGGCGTGTGTGCCGACAGCCGAGCTTGTGTGCACAAGGCAGTCCGCGTTCCAGGCTCTGGTGAGTTGACAAGCCCTACACCATGGGATGTGCCCCTTTTTGCTAACCGTCCTTCAGAGGGAGTATGGTAACTTTTTTTATAATCCCTATGAAGGACTGTCAGTATAAGGGGGAACATCCGCATCAACCTAAACCCGAGAGGCACCAACAAAGAGCCAACATAAGTACATAAGGCTTTGGGCCAGATGAGCCCTGTATATACACCCCATAAATCCAATAAGCCACAAAGGAAGCCGCAAGCCACCTTCAGTCCTTTGCCCCTAAACGCCCTAAAACCCTGACCCCTAAACCCTCATGCCCCTGTAACTTGAAATTATTAAGAAAAATCCAAACAGAAACTCCTCGAAACTTTCCCCGGACCTGAGCGCTTAATAATTTCAATAACCCCTAAACCCTAAACCCTAAACCCTAAACCCTAAACCCTAAACCCTAAACCCTAAACCCTAAACCCTAACCCTAAACCCTAAACCCTAAATTAAACTCTAAACCCTAAACCCTAAACCCTAGACCCTAGACCCTAAACCCTAGACCCTAGACCCTAGACCCTAGACCCTAGACCCTAGACCCTAAACCCTAGCCTGTACACCATTGAAGCCTTGAGTTGAAGCCCTTGAAGCCCCACCACGCCTGAACCTTGCAGGTGCCTAGACTCCCTCCCTTTCAATCTAAGGTTGGAACCTTAGGGTTTAGGGTTTAGGGTTTGGGGTTTAGGGTTTAGGGTTTAGGGCTTAGGGTTTAGGGTTCTATGGTCCCTTACCCTTGTTTGCAGGGATACGAAGTGTGGACCCTTATCATACAGTGCAGGAAAGGGTTTTGTATCAAGGGGCCCAAATCAAAGGCCCTCACTGGGAACTCTATAGCTTGACGGCCCCCAAGCTTAGATGCTTGGAAGCCCCAGAC